GGGGGCGGGGGCAGGGGCAGGGGCAGGGGCAGGGGATGGGGATGCTTTAGCCTTCCAGTCCGTCGCTATTCCAGGCTCTTCCTAGCTGGGGCTGTGCTAGTCATCGAGAGAGGTGGGGTTTCGTCCAGCTCTGGTCATCCTAACAACCTGTGACCTTGGACAAGCTCATTTCACCTCTCTGGTGCCTGCTTTCTGCTTTCCTTCTCTGTAAAGAAAGACGGCTGAAATACATCGGAGGCTCTCTCAAACCCTGCCTTGGAACTGTGCAGAACAATCACCTTGGGAGCTGGTTTAAAATGTAGATTCCATGCCTCATCCTAGGGATTCTGATTTAGTCATGTGGAAGTGTGGGGCTGGGGTGGATATTGGCATTTTTAAAATTTATTGATTTATTTTAGAAACGAGTCTTGCCCTGTTGCTCAGTCTGGAGTGCAATGTCACCATGACAGCATGGCAGCCTCCAACTGTTTGGCTCAAGTGATCCTTCTGGGTCAGCCTCCCGGTAGCTGGGACACCAGGCCCAGATAATTAAAAACAAAAAACAAACAACTGGCAAGGCACTGTGGCTCAAGCCCGTAATCCCAGCACTTTGGGAGGCCAAAGAAGACAGATGGCTTGAGGTCAGGAGTTTGAGACCAGCGTGGCCAACACAGTGAAACCCCAACTGTACTAGAAAAAATTTAAAAATTAGCAGGGGTGTTGGTGAGTGCCTGTAGTCCAAGCTACTTGGGAAGCTGAGGCAGGAAAATCTCTTGAACCCAGGAGGTGGAGGTTGCAGTGAGCCGAGATCGTGCCACTGCACACCGGCCTAGATGACCGAGCAAGATTCTGTCTCAAAAAAAAAATTGTAAAGAAGGGCAGAAGGGGTGGCACTATGTTGTCCAAGCTGGTCTCAAACTCCTGGCCTTTACATCCTCGCACTTCAGCCTCCCACCTAGCCTGGCAAGATATGCTTTTTTTTTTTTTTTTTTTTTTTTTTGAGACGGAGTCTCGCTGTGTTGCCTAGGTCGGAGTGCAATGGTGTGATCTCGGCTCACTGCAACCACCACCTCCTGGGCTCAAGCGATCCTCCTGCCTCAGCCTCCCAAATAGCTGGGATTACAGGCATTTGCCACCATGCCCGGCTAACCTTTTTAAAAATATTTTTAGTAGAAACAGGGTTTCACCAGGTTGGTTAGACTGGTCTGGAACTCCTGACCTCAGGCAATCCACCCACCTCGGCCTCCCAAAGTGCTGGAATTACAGACATGAGCCACCTTGCCCAGCCAAAAATATCCATTTTTAAGACGAGACCTGAGGTGACTCTGAAGCAGATCGTCACCAGGTCATACCTCTACTAGAGAAAGGCTGCTCCTAACTCTGGCTTGGCGGGGCAGAGAATGATGCTACGGAGAAAAGGGCAGGGGCTGTGGGTGTTCCTGTTCCTTGGGAAGTTCATGTTTGCTTTTGAAGATGACAATGTAGATAAGCGTTTAAGACAGAATCTGAGGCATTTTTAGTCTTTGGAGTAGCTTACCTTAGAATGAAGAAGAGGGTACCTATGGGATTGCAGTTGGCCTAGGTGGAGTGGGAGGGGAAATGGCAGTTTCCGTGGACGGAAGGGCTATCTTGATTGATGGGTCAGTGATTGGCGTGGGGAAGGAAGACCTGCTGGATTGGCTGAGCTGAGGGTGAGATGACATAACACCTGGGTAAGAGGACATCGGGCTATGGGTTATGAGGAGTAAGCCTCCTAGCTGGTCACCACAATGTTGGTCTCCTCAGCCCTCTGTCTGAACAAGCAGGACCTGAAGTGGCCCAAGTGACTGGGGACTAGTTGCCTCTGACCTTATCAGAAATTCTAAATCTCCAACTGTTTACCCCAGAGGAGTATACAAATATTATCATTTTCTCTGTGTGCCCTGTACTGTCAAGAGGATGACTGGGCAGCATTATAGGCTGCTAGATAATATCTTGGATCAGGGGAATAGCTGGTGTCTATGAGACCCAAATGATTATTTGGTAAATCAATTAATGTGTGCAGCTAAATCCACAGGATTGAACCCTATTTCCTGTCTCTTCTGCATTTCCATGTTTTAAATCCGAATTTTCCAGAAGTTTGTCCAGATACACCTTTCATCTTTCACGTGGCTGTATGATGAGTATGCCTCATCGGAGCTGCCAGGAGTCAAGAAAGATGTTGCCAAGTGAGGGCTGGTAACAGAGAGATGGTGCCAGAGGGAGGATGACAGGGAGGACTTGCCTTAGGGTAGGAACAGTGAATGGATTTGTTCACTGTGCAGAGGGAGCAACTTTCCCCATTAACTGTCTTCAAGGAAAAGAAGGAAGGGACAATTTCTTAGGTAATTTGAGGAAAAGCATTTTTTATTTTTTGAGACAAGTCTCGCCGTGTCACCCAGGCTGGAAGGCAGTGGCATGATCTCTGCTCACTGCAACCTCCGCCTCCGGGGTTCAAGCGATTCTCCTGAGTAGCTGGGACTATAGGCACCTGCTACCACACCTGGCTAATTTTTGTATTTTTGGTAGAGATGGGTTTTTACCATGTTGGCCAGGCTGGTCTGAAACTCCTGACCTCAGGCGATCCACCTGCATCAGCCTCCCAAAGTGCTGGGATTTTACAAGCATGAGCCACTGAGCTCTGCCAGGATTTTTTTAAAGCTTGAATCTTACGGCTGCCTGAATCATTTGGTCTCACTCTCTGCTTCTCCCCAGCTAACGATCTTTAGGAAACACTTTGAATGGGGTGTGAGAAGGCACCGTCTCTCAACTGGAGAAGTGTGGGAAATGAGATTACAGGAGCTGCACAAGGTGTGTGGGGGGAGTGGAACACAGCATACTGTCACATGCAGACAGGACAGCCCTTTTGCTAGACTCTAGCATTGCCGTGGATCTCATACAGGGAGTAGACATGGCCCTGTCTCTATTTAGTCTTATGTGTGAGCAGAGTAGTCACGCAGCTATTGCATCATATGATTTGAGGGATCTCAAACTACTTACCAAATGTTTGTTCAATCTGTCTGTCATGTTACTCTTCTCATTTGGTTATGATTATTTGAAAAGTGCGAAAAGATTGTGTTAACATGTTCTTATTACTTGGGAAACAGACCACATAAAGCCCTTATCAATCATTCAGAGTTGAAATTAGTTTATCACATTATGTTGTGATGAGGGATTGATAGGCTCTAGGGCAGTTCTGGTTTATTTTACTTTATTTTTGAGACAAGGTGTTATTCTGTCACCCAGGCTAGAGTGCAGTGGCACTGTCACAACTCACTGCAGCCTTGACCTCGTGGGCTCAAGCGATCCTTCCACCCCAGCCTCCCAAGCAGCTGGGACCACAAGTGTGCAACCACACCTGGCTAATTACTTATATATATATATACAATTTTTTTTTCAGAGATTGTGGTCTCACTATGTTGCCCAGGCTAGTCTCAAACTCCTGGGCTCAAGTGATCATCCTACCCTGGCCTCCCAAAGTGCTGGGATTACCCACGTGAGTCACCACACCTGGCACAATTCTGTTTTGATATAAGAACAAGGGGTTAGGAAAACACTGCATTAGGACCTATTGTCTTGAGACTCAATTAGGAGACTTAGGCAAGTTACTTAGCCTCTCTGAGCCCGTTCCAGCCTCTATAGGACTGGCATTGAGAATAATGCTGCAGATACTGAGAATCACTTTTTCTATGAATAGCAGCCATGAAGATGAAAAAAGAAAACATATCAAAACACTTTGAAAACTTAATAACATATGATGCTAGTAAGTTATATATATATATATGAGAGGGTAGTAGTTATATTTCTACTAGTAGTTATAGTTATTATAAAATTTAAAAATGGAGATGAGGTTTGACTCTTTATAATCTCACCCTTATAATTCCCACAGATGTGTCTCATGTTCATTCTTGTTATTCATATTGTGAATAAGATTGGGAAGATTAATTAGCAGCAGTGTTGATGAAGAGGCATCACGGGTAATGTGCCCAGCATCACATGGTGAATGAGTGGTTCAGAGGAGAATTTAGAGTACTGTTCTGTTACCAAACTCAGTCACAGAAGTTTGACTTTTCTGCTGCTAAGAAACAGAATTTTCTTGATTCTGATTTTTTTTCTTTAGTGCCAGAGGGACACTTCTTTACAAAAAATGTAGCAAAAACATTCAATCAAACCCAACTGAATTAGAATCTGTGATAATTTGAGTGCTACGTATGTGTGGTTCTTTTTAAGAAAACCAGTACTTGTGAAACATATGTAAAGTCTATTGTGAGTAGTAATTATTTTATTGATTTGCATATTTATGCTACTGGGAATTTTTGTTGAGCTATTTGTACTTAAGAGTGAAAAATTACTCTTAGCGAAAAACAATAAAAGTATTTGGCTTTAGGAAAGGGAAATATGGGCAACTTTGGAAGAAGAGGACTGGAAAATGGGTGCTATCTTTCTCTTTCCAAGTGGGAAGTCTCTTTCTAGGTAGTTGATTGAGGAGAGTAAACTAGATATAATCCTTACCTGTAAATGGAAGCTACAAGGATTTTAAATTATAAAAGGAGTTGTCAAAGCTAGAGCGTTATGTTAGAAACTAAGCATATCAACTTCAAAGCAAGTAAATACAAAAGAGTTTCTCTCTTTTAAGCTGTTTAGAGATTTAAGACATAATCTTAAGAATCATCCTGGGCATGGATTAATAAAATAGCATTAGTTTATACATAAAATTAGGTTTCTTGAGACTGGCTACTTTTCTGTTGAGTGTTTAAGTTAAGCTATCCTTTAAGCTTCAATTTTTGTAAATTATCGTAGTAATTTTTTTAGAAAGGAAGAGGCTGCTTACTCTCAGTGCAGATAAAGTGTGACATATGCCTACGTGATTAGGCACCGCTACCCCCTCTTGGTAGCAAACATTAATTGTAAGTTCGGTTTTTAGGGAAGACAGTGTTAAACATATAAAGCAAGCAAAGGAGAAATCATTGCAGTACATTGACTTTGCAGCAAAACAGAGTGAGAAAATGTTGTTGAGTGGTCCACAGCTGAGTATGGCCCACTCCTAGGGAGACTGGCTTGTTAGCATTTCTGGACCGCAGCTGCTGTGGTAAGTAATTTTTGGGTGGCAACTTGGCTGACTTCCTCATTGTTGATTGCCTAATCCTGCATCTTCTCATATTAGCCAAGTGTGTCGCCACTGGAATCATGTCTGACCGTGGAATTTATGAAATCCACTGCTGTGTGGTAAACACCCAGTCTCCAAATGTCACACAAAACCATCATCCACTGAGTTTTGCCCCCTGAAGACTACTTGTTCAACTTGTGTGAATTAAGTTTCCGTTCTAAGAATGAAATTTACAAACTGACAAGGCCAGATCTGACAGCAAAAGGGTCAGGAGAAATAGAATGTTGTCATCCTTGACCAGATAGAGTCGATGTTTAAATATGATATAATTGATATTGGAGGTTAAAGTGGATTTGGCTCTTAGATATGAGTTGAGAGAGTTGTGTTCCGTTGTTTTATGCCCTTAAACTGCCTGCCCTCTTTGATATTGAAACTTCTTTGGTTTTCTCATCTTTGAGATTGGATGATACTTTTCCTGACCAATTTTTGAGGTTTGTAAATAGCATACTTCTATACTGATAGTAAACAGCCTACTGATTTTACCTGCCTACCAAATTGCCATTGTTTTTACTATTCTGTTGGTTAAGTAAGTTGCCACAAACTGGCAAGACCTGGGGTGAAACCTTGGTTTTTCTACTTACTATTTGTGTTGGGAAAAATACCATAATTTCTCTGAGCTAAAGCAAGTACAGTAGTTACACCTATCATATAGGATCTGGAGGAAGATTAAATGAGTCTATTAGCTGGGCTCAGCATAAGGCCTATCACATAGTGAGCCCTCAATAAATATTTGCCATTATTGTGACAAATTGAGAGATGGGAAAATTATCCAGATAAGTCTAATTCCTGGAAGCATTCACATTGGACTATTATTTTTTATTCCCAATCAATTTCTTTTTCCTCAATTGTGGACTTGGGACCATTTGTCCTATTTGTCTCAATTCTCAATTTTTGTTTGCTTGTGTATGAATAACATAATATAATCCAAGTGTCCCTATTGCATCAAATTTACCTTGGCATTCTCAGATACAAATGTTCATCCAAAGAAAACAGATGAAAAAGGCTGTGTTGGTTAAATTTCTTTTTGGCTCATTCTAGCCTGATTTCTTTAGGCTTTGGGCAACATGATGAGTTACAGTTTACCTGCAGACTTACGGGGAAGCTCAGGAACTCCATGAGGCTCTAGGATTTAGGAAGATTGACTTGAACCAAAGGAAGGCTATTAGAGAAGGATGAGTTATTTGGTGAGTTACCAAAATGTTGGGACAAAAGTTTGAACTCTAAGGAAACCTAAATTCTTTTTTTTTTTTTTTGAAACAGAGTCTAGCTCTGCAGCCAGGTGCCAGGTTGGAGTGCAGTGGCACACTCTCAGCTCACTGCAACCTCCGCTTCAAGCAATTCTGCTGCCTCAGCCTCCCGAGTAGCTGGGACTACAGACGTGCGCCACCACACCCAGCTAATTTTTGTATTTTTAGTAGAGATGGGGTTTCACCATGTTGGCCCGGTTGGTCTTGATCTCTTGACCTTGTGATCCGCCCACCTTGGCCTCCCAAAGTGCTGGGATTATAGGCGTGAGCCACCGTGCCCGTCCAGAAACCTAAATTGTTAATCTGCCCTTTCTAGCTACATGATCTTGGCCAAGTTACTTAACTTCTGTGAATATTAGTTTCCTAAACTAGAGTCATCACTTCCTGCCCTGCTCTTTCTCCCATGTGTAAACATGTCTCAATCTATTAGATGTTAGATAAAAAGAAAGGATTGTGATTTCTATCCTGCATACCTGGAGATACATACTAGAGAGCATGCACCTAGTTATTGTCTAAAGTGGCTGTGTGGCTGCTTTTGCCAGAATTAATGATTGTATTCTTTATTTATTTATTTATTTATCTATTTTGAGAGGGAGTCTCGCTCTGTGACCCAGGCTGGAGTGCAGTGGCACAATCTCGGCTCATTGCAACCTCCACCTCCTGAGTTCAAGTGATTCTCCTGACTCAGCCCCTTGAGTAGCTGGGGTTACAGGCACCCACCACCACACGTGACTAATTTTTGTATTTTTAGTAGAGACAGGGTTTCACCATGTTGGCCAGGCTGGTCTCAAACTCCTGACCTTGTGATCTGCCTGCCTCGGCCTCCCAAAATGCTGGGATTACAGGTGTGAGCCACCACACCTGGCCAGCCAAACTATCGTTAAACGGTTCTCTAGAAGCCTCGTATGAACACGGTCCATGTGTGTGTGTGTCTGTGTCTGTGCACACTCTGTGTGCCAATTCTCCATTCTCAGCCTTCTGAGGTTCATGAGGTCATACTTATTTATTTCTTCTTTTGGGGAATGAAAATTGGAAGAAAATAGGGGGAATCTATCTATTAAATATTTGTAACCAATATTTATGATTTTGGTTAATTGTTTTTTAAACTTCACACTCATCAGGATGGCTACTATACTCAAAATAAAACAACCCAGAAAATAACAAGTATTAGTAAGGATGTGGAGAAATCGGAACGCTTGTATATTGCTAGAAAGAATATAAAATGGTGCAGGTGCCGTGAAAAACAGTATGGAGTTTCTCAAAAAATTAAACATAGACTTACCATATAATCCAGCAATTCCACTCTGGGTATAACCCAAAAGAAATGAAAACAGATACTCAAACAGATATTTGTGTTTCTGTGTTCATAGGAGCATTATTTACAGTAGCCAACAGGTGGAAGCAACCCAAGTGTTCATTGGCAAATGAGTGAATAAACAAAATTATTTAGCCTCAAAAACATGTGAAACTCTGACATGTGCTGTGACATGAGTGTCACGCTAAGTAAAGTCAATCCCCAAAGGACAAACACTTATTATTTCACTTAAATGAAGTACCTAAAGTAGTCAAATACTGAAGACAGAAAGTGGGATGGTGGTTGCCGGGTATTGGGGGAAGGAGGGAATGGGGTGTTAGTGGCTACAGAGTTTCATTTGGGAAAAAGTTCTGGAGATGGATACTGATGATGTTTGAACAACTATGTGAATGTACTTAATGCTACAGAACTGTATACTTAAAAATACGTAAAATGGCAAATTTTATGATGCATATTTTACCACACACACAAAAAAAATGTTTAAGCCTGGATGTTGGCTCATGTCTGTAATTTCAGCACTTCAGGAGGCCAAGGTGGGAGGATCACTTGAGCCCAGGAGTTTGAGACCAGCCTGGGCAACATAGCAAGACTTCATCTCTCTAAAAAATTGTTTTTTAGTTAGCTGACATAGTATTGTGTGCCTGTGGTCCCAGCTACTTGGAAGGCTGAGGTGGGAGAATTGCTTGAGCTCAGGAGGCTGAGGCTGCAGTGAGCCATGATCGTCCGCCTCCATTCTAGCCTGGGTGACAGAGACCCCATCTCACACATACACAAAATGTTTAAAGCAACTTTCCCCAAAACATCAGTTACTTTAAAAAATAGTGAAACTTTTAACCAAAACCAACTTCTGCTGTTGCTTAACACAACTTACCTCATTTTTCAGAGCTTTTAATGAGAATTCTTAACAGTTGCCTGCAGAGAAATGCTTTTTCCCTTTGAATACTTAGGAATTTTTTCCCAGTCACTGGGAAACGAATCTCAAACTAAATTCTGGGCCCTAAATTAATTCTAATCCACTTTCAGTTATCTCTCTAACAATGGCTACTTAATGCATGAACTTTTACAAGGCTACTTCTTCCTATAACTTACGTACATCCAGGTTTACGCCCTGATAGAAGTAGCATATTATACTTGAGAAAAATAGGCATTATAAATTTCTATCTCAAATGTTTCCCTTGTTTGCAATATCATTTTAGTCATTCTTTTGCTCATGTTTGCACACACACATTGCTGTATTCAATCAAATGTCTATTGATTATCTACTTTACACCAGCCACTGTGCTAGATTCTGATGAAGACAGCAACAAATAAATATAAATGGTGTAAGAAGGGCTACCATAGAGGTATGGACAGATTGCTCTATAGTATAATAAAATCCACCAGGAAAGGCCTTGCCAAGTATGTGAAGTTTGCATTGAATCCTAAAACGTAGTAACACAACAAGAAATGGGAAAAGGCATTTCAAACAGAAGAAACAATATACAAAGGCACAGAGGCGTACAAAACCCTTGGGTGCTTGGCACACTCTGAATCATTCAGTAGGGCTAGATCATGTGGTATGGAGGGCTTGTGGCGGTGGTAAGATGAGGCTGCAGGGGAGAAATCTTGGAAAGTTTTGTACTTACCCATTCATTCATTCTTAAGTATGAATTAGGTACCTGCTACGTTCCAAGTACTAGAAGTCGGGACTTCAAAGGTGAGTAAACCACAGGTGCCACAGTATAGTAAAAGGCAGTATCAGAGCTATGTACAAAGTGTAAGGAAACTCAAAGGGGGCACCTTGATCCCAAACGAATAGAGTGGATGGAAAGAAAATCTGCAAAGGATTCTTCAGGATGACCCCTGAACTTTGTCTTCAAAGGGGAATAAGCATTAGTGAGTCAATGGATGATGAGCTTGGAGGAGAGAATTTTTTGCCACAAGCAAAAGCCTTGAGGCAAGAAACCATAGGGTGTGTGCATAGAATTAGAAGTAGTTCAGTGTTGCTGGAGTTAAGTATTAGGCAAGGAATTAGGCTGATAGGAGAGACACAGTCTTTTGTGCCATTTTAAAGAGTGTGGACTTTATCCTGAGGGTGATAAGGCACCACTGACGGCCTTTAAGCTGCAGGGAACCTGCTAGATCCCTCTGATGCCTGGGAAAGATAGATTCAAGAGGGAGAGGCAAGGCAGGAAATGAGTGAGAACAGACTGGCCAAGACAAAGAAGGCCTGAATGAGGGCTGTAGGAATAGAGGGGAGGCAGCTCATCTTTAAAATATTTAAGAGGTAAAATATTTGTAGGACTTGATGATTGATCAGTATGGGAGAACTGAGGGAAAGGAATCAAGAGGAAGGCCAGGCTAAGGGAAGTCACTTTTTCGGGGCTTCTGGTTCTTTGTGTTTAAATGAGTGGGCTGGACCAGGATTGACGCAAACATCCCTCCCAGTTCTGAAGTCCTGTGATTCTGGGCAGCCTCTCTGAATGTTCTCACCCCAGCTTAGGTGGTTCCTTAAAAGAGACTCATAGTTTCTCAGCTTTTCTGACGGCTTCTCAGGATGTGAGGTGGCGGGCAGAGCTGAGATGACTTTGGAACTGCCAGCCAATGTCAGGGAAATCTAGTGCTGTTACCAGGTAGCCGGAGTTATAATTAGCCCAGTTGCTAGGGCAAGGCTGAGGTTCTGTAAGCTGGACTGCCAGCAACAGCTCTTCCCTGCTGGATAAATTTACTTGTTTGAAAGAACAAAGTGGGTATGGATGGGGTGTTTTAAAACGTGTTCTAGATGATTTAA